GGCTGGCTGGCTGCTGGGGGCAGCTGGGTGTGAATAGGATGGGGGCAGCCGAGGCTGGCAGCCTGGGAGCCCCCCCCCAGAGCAGCTCCTTCCATGGTCAAGGCTTTGCACCACCAAGGAAGGGTCGCAGCCTCCATGCCTCTGGCTGGCTGCTGGAAAGCCCCTCCGCAAGGAGGGAGCAGCTTGCTATTTAAAAAAAAAAAGGCTTTTCTCCAGCCCTCTGGACATTGGCTCTTCTTGCCCTCCCTTTTTCTGCTACCCATCAGCTGATTGTGCCCCCCTTCTTTTTTTTGCCAAATTCAGGCAACTTCAGCAGGGATCTGAGTGTACTCTAGCCTTGATGGTTGTGTAACGCTGCCACCCCAAAGCCAGAAAAGTCCCTCTTCCTGCCCCACGGTCTTGCCCTACAGATGGGGACAGAACAAGCTATCATGCCGAAAGCGGGGCTTGCCTGCGGGCGTCCTGCCGAGCATGCCCCCCGCCTGCGCTCACCCGGGGACAGAGCTGGGATGCCACGGGGAGACGCTTCACATTTTTATAAAGAAGGTGTGAGCCGTTTCGCTCTTAAATCTGTACGAGCAGCAAAGAGAGAGAAGAGAGAAGGGCTTGCTGAGTTTAAGGGGTCTCTGGAGCTTCCCTCTCCGAAGCCGAGCTGCCTGTTGATTTATAAATAGTTGGAAAACCATCTCCTGCAAACCCTTTGGACAGTGAGAAAAGAACTGCGCGGATAGGCGCATCAGTGTTGCTGAAACTGCCCTACCCATCTAGGTGGGCATATTTTTTAAAAATAGTGTTCTTCATTGCCACTCAGTGGTGAATATAGGCTTCCCGCCCTGCCAAGAGTCTTCAAGAATTTACTACCCATTTTCATCCCTGCTGGAGAATGAGGTGGTGGTGCTATTAACAAGATAGACACACCCCATTATTTTATTTGCATGTGGTGGTGACAGAGCAACCCCAAATATCCATAGGTGGATGCAGTTTGTTGTTAGGAGGGCCGTCTTCTCACTCATTCAAGGAGGGTCTTTCTGTCCTGATCAGCAACATCGGCATTCAGAGCCACTTCTGGCGTAGGAGGTCAGGGAGCAGCAGTTGGGCTGGCTGGTGACCCGATGGCACATCTGCCTCTATCAGATAAAATTGGAGAAGAGGAAAAAAGTCAGTACAGCCCACAGGGGGACCCGAAACAACTAAGAACTCTGGGTTGCCTGCAGTTCTCGTTCAGATTAAATTTATCTATCTGTGGGCCAAGAGGCTTATATTTAAACAGTGTTGTCTATACCATGTTTAATATAATAAATATAAAAATAATTGCAACTAAACATACTGTAACTATTGTGACCACCACCCCCAGGTTGAGAATCTGTGGCCTAGATGTTTTGGCCCCACGACTTTCTATGGGGCTTTCTGCCTTTTTTCATTCTCTTTCCCAGGATTTCTTAGCCAGCACAACATGTGCCATTTCTTCCTGTGAAATCTGGTGTGCCCTTCCTTAGTTCCTGTGCGGGAACTGATGTCATTCATCCCAACGTGCAGTGGATAAACTGCAGGACTGCAGCCAAAACTCTGCTCTCCACCCAGGTTCAATCCCAGGGAGCCATCTTGAGGTTATTGCCCGTCACACCTCTCCCAGGAGAAACACGTTTTATATTTCTGGAGGATGGATGTGCCCGTTTGCCTTGCACAGCAGTCTTATTGTTTCACAGGTTCGTGGCACAGCTTATGAGAGCTCGTTTTTTTAGATTGCAAAACCCAAGCACTGGAGTTTTAATTGCAAGCACCCTTTAATTGCAGGCACCAAAAGTCTCCTGCCAGGTGGGCAGGAGAGTTTTGGAAGCTGAATTCCGGTATGCAACATATTCCAGGCTCCAGTTCTGGACCAGATCCAGGGCCAGCTCCTTATCCCAGGACCAAAACCGAGTGTCTTGAGATTCCCCCAACAAGCCAAAGGGTGAATTTCGAATAAGTGCCGTGCCTTTGAAAATCAAGGAAACACAGACAAAAAAGTGTTCCAGAAACGATTTATATAATTGTATTGTTCCTTCTTTTTTGGGGCCACGGTTATTGTACAACTTCTGTGCTCAGCTTGCTGTAAATGCATCCATAAATATTTGGCAACACCTGCCAGAAATCTCCAGAAGTCTTGGCCTGGGATCATCTGGGTCAGTATCCCCCCCCCCTCCACTGAATTGCTTTTATTTATTCAATTTCAATTTTTCCCTTCTTACCGATCTGCTTATACCTTATAATCTGCTCCAAAAGACAGCAAACAGGACTGTGGATGCAAAGGCCCCAGCCGAGAAAGTGGCGGTGGGCGGCTGTCCTGCATTGAGGTTGCAAAAGTCTTCGAAACAGCAGTAATCCAGGGGATTCTCACCGGCTGTATCCAGCTCAGAGGGAATGCATTCTTTGGAGCACGATTTTTGGACAGTGATGTTTCCCAAAAAGGGGTATCCTGTTATTAGAAGAGAGCGTAAGAGATGTTTTTCCCTCCAATAATACTATCTCATGAAGCTGACCCTCATATTCTGGATGCTCAGAGGCAAAATATAAAATAAAAAACCTCCATGTCGTAGTATTCTTATTCTTATTGTTATTTTTGTCGTTATCATTATCATTATCACTGCTATTATGATTACTTGGTAAGAGATTGCTTTCCCACAGTAATCCCATGTTAACCACTGATGTATTTCAATAAAAATCTTTGGTGATCAATGTTCATGAAGATGCAGATCTGTGTGGCTTTTGGGGGGGGTCCTCTCTTTTTTTCAGGAGCATGCAGAGCGTGCAAACCTCAGAGTCCCCTGGAGTCCAGAGGTTCAGAACCGGCAGGTCTTGAGTCAAGGCACCTTGGCTGTGGCCACCCTTGCAACACTCGTGTTTTCCACCGAGGTGGATCAGGCGTCTTTTAATTTCGTGGCTGCTGTCTCCATCTGCAGTGATCATGGAGCCCAGGAAAATAAAATCTATCACTGCCTCCATATCTTCCCCTTCTATTTGCCAGGAGGTGATGGGACCAGTGGCCTGGATCTTGTTTTTTATATGTTGAGCTTCAGAGCATTTTTTGCACTCTCCTCTTTCGCCCTCATTAAAAGGTTCTATATTCCTCCTCGCTTTCTGCCATGCTTTTGCGTAGTCAATGAAGCAGAAGTAGATGTTTTTCTGGAACTCTCTGGTTTTCTCCATAATCCAGCGCATGTTAGCAATTTGGTCTCTAGTTCCTCTGCCCCTTCGAAATCCAGCTTGTACTTGTGGGAGTTCTCGGTCCATGTACTGCTGAAGCCTGCCTTGGAGGATTTTGAGCATAACCTTGCTAGTGTGTGAAATGAGTGCAATTGTATGGTAGTTAGAGCATTCTTTGCCCTTCTTTGGGACTGGGATGTAGACTGATCTTTTCCAATCCTCTGGCCACTGCTGAGTTTTCCATTGATGATGATAAAAAAAAGCACACTGATCCTTTGATATCAGACTGTGGCACCAGGGTGGGTGACATGGCCTTTAGCCTGGTTTGTTCCTTTTTGCACACCACACATGGAATGATTAAAGTGGCAGGGAAAGCCCCCTCTCCAATTCTGCGTTGGCTATCTCTAGCAAGCACGTCATTGCTAGCACCACTCTGGTAGCCACTGATGATGATTAAATCCTCTGCAAGCTAGCAAAGATTTAATGCAACTTGCTAGGCACGTTGGACAAAAATAGTGCACATCTTTATCAAATTTGGTGCATCCTGCTAGTTCGGTACACAGCCTGTGTAGATTCAATAATATTTTTAATTCATATAATGTATGATTTCCTTCCTTTCGAATCAAGGGGGTAATGTCGGCGTATATAAATTTTTTGGGGGGTAAAAGGTAAAAAAGTTCCCTGACCCCTGCTTTAAATCAACCACCAAATAAGGCATCAACAGACTAAAAATAAAACCATATTTTAAAAAGGAATGAAAAAACAAAGAGAACTCACAGGGCAATAATCATATTCATGAAAGGAATGAGAAGGCAAAATGTTTCTTAATCACAGCAGATCTGAGGCCTAGTAAAAAAAACATATATATCTTTGATTTCCATCTATCCTGACCCCCAGAACCGGCATGGAAAGGAAAGCAGTCTGGGAGGGGGGCTCGGGAGGAAACTCCTGGAGGTAGCTCCGCCCATTCCATGGCCCCCCATCCCCTGGGAGCAGTCCAGACCAGATAGGCGGGAAGGGGGGCGTGCCCAGGGATCAGGGCTGGAGGGGGTTGCCCTCCCCTTGGAAACCCCGGGGCGCAGTCCAGATCCGTCCTTGAGCCAGAGGGGCTTCAAGCAAGCCCCCCACACACACAGTGGCACCTTTCCCCCCCAGGGGAGTCCGTCCATCTCATGCCCACCTTTCTGTTTTCCTGAGCTTTCGTACGACTCCACTGACTGGTCAGTCTGACTGCAATTCAATTCCTGCTCCAATAACGGGGAAGGCCAATAATTACAACATCGGCTAGACTGAATATTTTACTAACCCATCTAGGGAGAGGATGTGGGTCAGGAGCGGAGAGGAGGGCAAGATTCAGCTTTGCAGCAGGAGGACCAACGTTTGAAGGCCGTGGGATATAGACCAGCCGATGTCCTCTGAGCTGGGCAACCAGCCACCCTTTCTCTGAGCTGGGCAACCAGCCCCCCCCCCGGGTGACGGCTGCTCCCAGCAATACACGCAGCCCTGCCGTCATGGCTCTGGTGGGAGGAGAGCTCACAGCCCACCTTCCAAACGGGGATTACCGGGCTCTGGTGGGAGGAGAGCTTGCGGCCCACCTTCCAAAAGGGGATTAGCTCTGTCACACTTCATCCTAAGCCTTCCCGGTGACCCCAAACCTCCGTCCTCCCACCAAGGACTGTCATTCGGGGACAGGCGTCATGACCCCCAAGACAGGTAAAAATCTCAAGCAAGTCTCAAGTAAAATTCATAAAAGCCCCTGATTTACAGTTTAAGGAAGGGCTCTGGACACCCTTTACCAAGTCAAGAAGAGACTAGGATGAATTTAAAAATATGTATTTAACATTAAAAAGAAAGCTTCGGAGACAGACGGTGGAAAAGTCTGTAGGTAAAAACAAAACCCGGCTTATTTTAGGGCAAAAGGAAATTTGAATTCATTCCCCATTTTGACTCAAATCTGCTCTGCGGAAGAAAGGAAATTCGGCGGGGCCACAGCGGCCGTTACAGCTCTTCCGGCAATGGACAGTGGTCTTTGCTATAGGAGTTCGTCTCTCGTCATGTCTGTGACGGCTCAACTCAGTTCCAGTGGACAATCTCCTCCGTGGCTAAGCGCATAATCTTGTTGAAGTCAAACCGGAGGTACTTCCTCCAGAAACGCCGGTCTCTGCCATAAACCTGAGCAGGGTAGCATGGGCTTCCTGTCCGGAAAGAGAAGTTTCAGTCATTCTCAACAAAAAGTGACAACGCGTTGGTCAGCTTCCGCAGCAGATTCCACTTTTTGTCCTTCCAATTGATGGCTAGACACTGCTTTCTTATCCTATAGTTAAGAGCTTCCTCCATGGCATCATTGCACCACTGCTCAATTATGTATGGTTTCAGCATGCCATTATATTCAGTCTTCCTAACAGTGAGATTCTAGGCTTTTCTTTGTGGACTGCAACTGATATCCACTTACATAAAGGCTATTTCCAGTGTAGAGTTCATAAGTTCCTCCTCTACCCATGTTATGAATAAAGTATTTCTTGTGGTGATGACTACTGATCAAGGAATAGGCAAATTGTGTTTTCACAGTAGACCTCTCTCCCATACAGGCATTATGACTTGATCAGATATTGCCTTTTCACCAAAGGTGGTGATAGGGGAGGATAATGATACTGCAGTTATTACTACTAACTGTATCAATAAAGCTTGAGAATTTCTTATATACTAACATCTTGTTCACAATGTAATTGTAACAATATTGTTATCTCCACTGTATCTATGCCACAAACGCTCTGGATGTACAGTACCAGTTATGGTTTTATACACTACCTCAGTTGTCTTTTAGAATCTTATTTTGTATTTTATCTTATACTTCCTTCACGCTGTATACATTTTTATACATTCTCCAAATGGTATTCTGATCCTGCCCCTCGGACCAGGGAACAGCAGAGGCCATTCAGGCCCCCAGGCTCAATAGCCAGCCATACCTGATGGGAGTTTATGGCCCATCCATGGGCCCTCTAAATGAACAATGAGACCTTTTATCCTACCCCAGGAGTTGACCTGGCCAGATGGCTAGGCCATTGGAAGGCAGAGGGGCAGGAAGGCCGGAGATAACAGATACAGTACTCTTGAACTGCCCTTCCTTGAAGGGCACACTGAGACTCAGGAAGAGTACACAGAAACATATCAATAGATAAGGGGGATTGTTCCCAGACTTTCGGGAACATCTTGGGCACAGGTCAAAGAAATATCAGGGCATAAAATGGATATTCTGACCAATAGATTGGCCAAGTTAGTATCTCAGATCCAATCAGGGCCGAGATCCAAGGTTCGGGTACAGATGACCAATAGGTCAACTGCAGAAATATCTGAAGTCCAATCAGGAGTGAGATCCAAAAGTTGGGGTACAAATGACCAATAGCAATGTAGTACTTTACAGATGACCAATCACAATGTAGTACTTTCGTGGCTCTTTGTCTGTAACCGGGCTCACTCTTTATTCTGGGTCTCTCCCTGCTTTTAGGAGAAGACCCAGCTGAACTTTTGTAGTACTTTTGTATTTCAATAAAATTGGCTTATAGTTCAGCTGTCTTGTGTCTTAGCCTGTGGTCCTTGCCGGAAAAACTCGAACCCAGCACTGGTCAAACCTGAACTCAGATTTGGCCTATAACAGGACCAGCCATGTTCTTCTGCTTCAGAGAAAACAAGGTCTTTTGTGAAAGGACAGAGACCTTCCCCTCCCCAGACCAAACTCGGCATTGCTCCCCGGGGCCCTGCGGACTGTGGGATTCTGGGAAATGGAGTTCCCAAAAAGAACCTAAGTTTTTCCAGAACTGGACCAACATCTGGGAAGGAAGCGGGACCTGCGCTGCGAATCAGAGGTTCGGAGGAGCCTGGCCCCAGGAAGGTTGGAAGGGCCTGCTCTTTCCGAGGGTGCCTCCAGACATCTCTTCTGTCCCAGCCCTGAGCTTTTGTCCTTCACCAGCACCGGCCACTTACATTCCTTCAGACTCTTCAGCTACCTCTAGCGCTCAGAGAGGGATGGACGGACGGACTGACTTCCTTTCTTTTTTACGCTGCCTTTATTCCTGATGAACGCCTATCCATGGCCAGCCAACAGGTCCTTTTTGCCAATCTCTTCCAAGCAAGAGCTCAAACACACACGGCTTCCAGGGATCTTATTCCCTGTTCTTCAGGAACTCGGCGTGCCTTATTTCACACTATTTCCTGGTTTGCTGTCTTGTACACAGAGAAGCTTAGGGCGAAGCCTTTCGATCCTCCTCTTCCAAGTAGCTTCTTCAGTCTGAGGAGAGTTGGTAGAAGATTCCCGGAGAGACCCTCCGACTCTCCTCAGATTGGAGAGGCTGCTGCTGGAGGAGCGGCGAAATGTTTCAGCCGGCCGAGAAATAAGTCCGGTTGCCGGGAAACGACTTCCGGAGCTCCGTCATTTCTTGAAGAGCTTTCAGAAGGTCTTCCTCAGCCCTTCTTCCGGCCCTGCATGGCTGACCTCTTCAGGTTTCCCCATTTCATGGGCTTTGCGGCCACGGGGCCCTGCTCCTCTCTAACAGGCCTCGCTGGAAGGGGCTCGGCTAACGTCCCCTTCTTATGGGTCTTGTGGCCTTCAGGGCCATGTCCGCACCTGATGCTGCGTCTTGGCTGGCACCGCAGAGAGTAGTGCCCAGGAGGATTACTCTTGTAAGGAGATTTGGCCAGCATCTTCAAAGAAGCCACTGCAACCCCCTCCCCAGTAGGCTCGCAGTTCTTACCGATACCGTGGAGTATCCTTGCCACGGCCCTGCCGGTGAACTTCTCGTCTTGGCGGATGGACAGGAAATGGCGGATGTCAGCCCGGATCGGCTCTTCCCAATCCTGCAGCTACAGTTTGGGAGTAAAAGCCCAGAGAGCGTGAGACAGGCAGCATACGAAGGGTGTTAAGCCTAGTGTGGCGACCCAGCCTCTTTCCTGTCCGCCAGGTTGCTTCGGAAACCTCCTGGGTAAGATGGATCCCGCGGGCGACAAGCAGCTTCCTACGCCTTTCAACTTCGATCCCTTAAGGTTCAGCCCTCTGGTTTCTGATGCCCACGACCTCCCACTCTGTGAACACCCTCCTGGGTGTTTGCCATGCGCTCCCTCTTGACCAGGCCACACAGTGAGCAATGTTGCCGCATCGACATGAAAGCTGATGTGAACGTAGGAAGAAAGGGACCCATCTTTGCCCAGCCTCTCTTTTTCCAAGCGGCAGTCAATTTCTACGGTCCCGGCAAGGGGCTTCGCCCGGCTCTGCCTTCAGCTGAAACGGGAAGCCTCCTTTTCTCCTTTGGGGAGAGGAGTAAATGTCTACGGTCTAGAGTGGTCCTGAGTTGGCTAGATAGGCGGGATATAAATAAAATAAAATAAAATAAATAAATAAATAAAATCTCCTTGAAACCCTCTCCGGGTGGCCCCCGAGTCACTGAGCTTCTTTGAGGCTTAAGGGCTTAGGAAGATGCCTTACGCCAGCCCACCCAGGCCCGTCCTGCCCACTCAAGAGAGGCAAGGGCCGTCCAGGGTCTCTGGCAGGAAAAGCCCCATGTGATCCTTTAACCCACATCCGGCTCTCGAGAGTTGAAAGAGCTTCTCCAGTGCTCAGAAAGTGCCTGTCCCACCTTCACAGCTCCTCCCTCAACCTCCCCCCCCGAGCTCCTCAGAGAGGTTAAACGAATCCCAAAGGACCATTAAGGAAGCCGGTCCACGCCTAGGACTCCCTGGGGAACCTTTCCCGTGGTGTGTGGCCCACAGCAGTCCGTTTCAGGACCTGTCCTCAGGAGAGGTGCCTTAGGAACCCCTCCCCCTCGATGTGGAGCAGAACCATCTCCTTGGATCGATCCCTGTGTGTTTCCCTGCTCTGGGGCCACCCGGGGAGCAGCCTGAAGCCTTTCTCACCTTCACGTCCTGGAACCTCTCAGCTCCCGGCTCATCGTATAGAAGGTCTGGATCCTCTTCCTCACACACCACGTCCTTCTCAAAGTAATCCCTCAACAGGGCCTTGAGCAGGGCGCTCCTCTCTTCGCCGCTGCAGTCAGAGCACGAGGCTGAGGCCGGGAAAGCCACGCTGCACAAAAGCACGACCGAGACACCAGAGAGAGAGAGAGAGAGATCAAAGGCTACACAGCAGGCTTCTCGAGGGAAGGGGTGCTGTCAGCTGCTAACAGCTGGAAGGGCCCTTTGCAAAGCCCTGATCCTGTCTGGGGAAGGTGGAAATCCTTAGGTGCCTTTCCCCCCTCAAGCTGCTCCTGGGACGGGAGCTCCCCCCCATTCCCTTTCCCCATTCTTGCCCTGGACTTGAAATCCAGGAAAGCCCCCTTTGAACAGGAAAGGAGAGTGAGACCCCCTGGGGAAACATTCCCCCCATGTCCCCTCCACAGGGTAAGCGGTGCCTGTTTCCTGCTGTGGCCCACCTCTGAAAGGCCCGGAAGCACTCCTGCAGCTGGCGGAGGGCGGCTTTTTCACGCTCTTTCACCCGGCGGTGCAGGAACTCACAGACAGAGTCCATCTCCTCATCCGTGAGATCCCCGTAGGAGCGCAGGTGGAAGGACAGTTCACTGAATTCCACCAGGATCCCGCTCTTCACAGGCACATGGGAACCTGAGTTGGGGACGAGAGGGAAGGAGAAGGGAGTGTGTGTGCGTGCCTGGGGGGGGCATCTGTGTTTATTGGAGGGTGGGGCATCTGGTCTGTCTTTGGACGCAGCTTCTCCAGGCGGCGGTCCTTCCACAGTGTCCTGCAAAGGGCCAAGAGCACCAAGGGTGCCAAGCGATGAGGGACACTTCTGGCATGTTTTTGCAGGACTGCTCCAAAGAGGAACATTCCAGCTGGGAGCCGGTCAGGCCCGGGAGGCCACGAGGTGGTGGTCTTTCTGCTGCTTCCTTTCAGAGCCTTTCATGGGTGACCCAGTGGTTTGAGCAGAAGGGCCAAGGGTAGCCTGCAGGCTTCTCAGAAACCTTCAGATCTCGCTCTCCTGCTGAACCCTGCCATGTTTTTTTTTTCTTGGACCCTCCAAACAGCAAACCTCTAGAGATGTAATTTGCTCTCAAATTCTAATTCCACTCCACCAGAGTATTTCGTCCCCCCCCCAAGACCTTTGTTTAGAAAGGCCAAAATGTCCGCTGGATCTTTGGAAACGGTCTAGCCCGAGGATGAGGGACGACCCCCCAGCGTCCCCATCCCTATAGCCTCCCACCAAGTGGGCATATTTGTCCGGTTACCATTCTTCCGCTGGACGCTCCACTGCAGCTGACGGAGAGCCCGTTTCACAGGCAGGACTTCCCAGCCCATGGAGTCGGCCAACTCGACCACATCAAAGTCCACAGAACTAGCCTGGGCGTGGCTGATCCCTTTCAGGCGCTGCTGGGCGAGGCAGACCGCAAGAGGAGGGCACCTGGAGGAAATGAGAAGAGGAGGAGGAGCAGTCAGTGAGCGGTCCAAAGGCAGTCCGAAAGAAAACGGACGATAGGTATGCAGGAAGACTCTCAAGAGGACGGAAAGGAACACCGTGTGCCGTCAATATACCTCAGAGCTGAGCTTGTTCTTTCATTGACTATATAACAAAATAAGGAAACACCATTTTTATTAATTCAATCTATTCTCATAGAAGTCAACAACTGCCTTGAGTCTTACTGCCAGGACAGAGGCAGCATAGAAATGCAATCAATCAGTCAGTCAATCAATCATTCACAAAAAGGTAGAAAACCATGCTAGAAAATAGTTCAAGCAGACCACACACACTTCTGAAGACCACCCAGGCAAGTCCAATGGATTCTATGGCTAAAAGCCTGCATAGGAAACCACCGCCAACCGTTATGCTTCTGCCCGTTTCTGTTATCTGGGAACAAGATCCTCCCACCTGTTCTCCAGCAGCCCCAAAGGCCAACCTCTAGACGTGACTCATGGTGGCCATTTTTCTTGTTGGTGGCCTGCTTGCCCCCCCTCCCTGCTCTGATCCCTGCTTTGGGGCAATGGGGTGCCTTCCCTCCTTCACCTTCGAGCTGCCTTCCGCAGCTCTGGAGGGCCGCCATAGCAAACGACCCGGCAAGACGAGAAGGTCGGGTGCAGGAGCTCCACCCAGCGATGATGGGGATGCAGTTCCAGGTAGCACAGAAGGGTCTCGATCCCTGAAGGAGGAAAGGAGGCCTCGGGTGAGTGTCAGGAAGGAGCACAAGACTTTTGCTCTCTTGCCAAACGCCTCCTTGTCCTTTAAAGACAACAACGATGAGGCACAGACGCCAGAGCGTCACGTCGTCCATTTCACAAATTGACTCCCCAGAATTTCTAAAATTGAAGCAGGCAACAGCGTGGGGGAATCTGCTTCCCTCATGGCCACGTTTTACAGGGGAAGAATAATGTGAAATTAGTTCCCTCCAGACACTGGACAGGGATGTTCCTGTCCTGAAACAGTTCCTGAATCCCCAGGATTCCTCCCCACGATTTACGAGCCCGTTTTATTCTCTGCGTGGTTTAAATGCCACATGTGCTTTGACGCACATTCCCCCCCTTTCCTCACCCTCCTCCGTTTTTGGGTGCTTTCAGGGGCTTCCGGCACAGAAGGTGTTATTGGCACATGGATGGAAGAAAACGGCCAGAGAAGAGGAGGAGCCCGGCAGTCACCAGCCGCTGCAGGTGGCAAGCCATGGGGCAGCTGGTAAGGGGCTGGCCCCACCCTACAACCAAACCAATTACTGTACTGTGGAAAACCAACAGACGAACAGGGAGGATGTCCTGTTCCGTTACCTGAAACCATCAGGACATTTGGGATGAGGGTGGAAGGGGCATTCAGCCTGAATGCCAGCCCGGGCAGTCGGGGTGACCCTCAGAGGAGGAGAAGAGGGGTGCACACTCTTGCCACGAGGGCCACGTCCGCAGCTTCGGCTCCTTGAGCTACTCAACCGGAGGCAGATCCTCCCACGGTACAGCCACCTTCTTGAAGGCAGCACAAGAAGGGCCTCGGCCAAGACACCGGCAGAGCGCTTGGGTCTTGCAGCCAGTCCTTCAAAGGACCACCAAGACCTCCTGGCTTTTCTTGAGCAGGGACAGCTCTCCGGCACCCTTGACAGGTGTGGATCCTGCCTGCCCGACCAAACACATCTCAGGCTAATACTGAGCATTTTAAACCCACCTCTGCCCACCTTGGCTCAGTTTTGTAGAACTGAGTCTACAGTTGAGGCAACAGGATTTATGTATTTATTTTAATTGACTTATTTATTTTTAAATGTGGAAGAGCCAGATGAAGTGAGATGGCGCGAGGGAGCAGACGGACCCACAAGAGTGACTTGAACCATACCACATTCTGCATCAGCACATGTGCACAGGCAGACCGAAGGACACCCACCCTCTACCCTCCCATTCTGGGGTTCGCCTCCCACTCAAAGAGCTTAAGGAAGGCGGCTCCCACCCGCCCCCTCGGCCGCCATCTGGGCCAGCCCCCCTTTTTTACCTTCTTCTCGGAAGTCCAGAGCTTCCACGGTCTGCTGAATAGGGAGGGCTCTCTCGTGTTTGTAACATACTCTGGGTTGTCCATTGTCTGGGTCAGGTTGCTCCTCATTCCTGCTCCCTTCCAAGAGGGCCAACATATCGGCATCGTTCACTTCACCATCCTGGATGGTAAAAGAAAAAAAATGTGTTCGTCACCATCAGGAATTTGCTACCGCTGGAGGGTACTTTTGGCTTTATTTCTTCCTTAGGTTTTTGCCTGCAAGTTAAGTTTAGGCTTCACATATCATTTCAAGATTTGTGCTTACAGTTTTCCCGTATACTTTTGGATATTTTAAACTACTCTGAAGTCTTTTTGTGCCTATGGAAGATAGAAGCAAGGCAGACAGATAAAGCTTGTTTGTAGAAGACAAGCTGATGTTGTCTGGAGTCATTGCAACAACGCAAAGACTTATACCCTGATGCTTAGATGGATTTGGATAGATTTTGGCAAGGGTTGACTGCTTTCATTCTGAAATTAACCCTTCTTGGGATAAAGGCCGTCTGTGAGGAACACAGGCTTCTGATTAATTTTTATTTTATTTTTTTCTCCTAGAGATCTATACAGTTTTGTTCTGGCATCAGACTCTCTGACTTGACAACAGAACAAAACCCTTTCTGCTCCTAACTCTCATTCCCCTGAAAGTGGACAGAAAGACTAACTACGGTGGGGAAGCTTTTATAGAACCACGTCAACCTCTGCTTAAATGCCTGGAGGTGGGGGAAGCCCTGGGATTCAGCTCTGCAGAAAGCGAAGCGGTCTTGCCCAGGCTGGTCTTTATTTCCCCAGAGCCGCTCTGCCAAGCCCACTGGCCCGCAAAAGGAACAGGAAGCCCTGCCACGTTGGTGTCCTCTCCACTCATGCCTTTCTCTTTATTTCTTCCTCCTGACCTTGTGGAGTTCCTGCTGCTTCTGGTGAAGTTCCCGGCACTTGCACCGAGGGAAAACCTTCTGCACGAGCCTCTTCACGGTGAAGAAGTCGACGGTGTCGGCATAGATGTGTCTCCTTAACTCGTGCAGATCCTCACCCTGGAGAGGGAGAAGGCCAGCCATGTGAGCTGTGGGGCCAGGGAGATCTGGCAGAAGAGCCTCTCCTCACGACCCAGAGGCCATCATCGCTCACGCCGAGGCCTCCCTCGCAGGGGCAGCTGAGAAGATCAAGCGCCCCCAGTTCCTCAAAGCAGCAGTGACGGGTGAAACCTTTGGCCTTTCCCTGGTTTTCGACCACAACCCCCCGCTAGTCCTTTGCCATCAGACTGTATATCCTGGATGGGGATCCTGGGAACTGCAGCCTAAAACATCCAGAGGCCACAAGGAAGATGTCAAATGATACAGACATAGAATGCAGCCCGTTGCCTACGTGGGGGTTCCGCTGAGGACCGGAAAGTCCTGCCAACACAGAATGGGAGGACCTGCCTTTTGCAGGGCAGAGCTCCCAAGAGGGCAAGGCCACTGTGCGGACAGCTATGGCCATGTCAGGCACAGATTCCGTCAGGCTTGAACAACAAACCCTGAGTGCTTTAGACTCTCCGTACATCTTGCGGGGCCTGGACTACCTTCTCCTCTCCCCTCTTTCCACTATGAATGACCTGGAAGGACAGAGGAGGGCTTTCTACAATGTGCCCCATGGAGGTCAAGGAGGCAAGGGGGCATTTCCAGTGACTGCTGCATAACTGTGGAACTCCCTGACTCTAGATGTCTACCAAAGCCCAGCCTAAATATTTTCCAAGGCCATTTTTCATCAGGATTAGCGTTTATCAAATAGAGCTAAAGGGGAATATAGACCTGTTTACACATTGTATATTTTATTCTGCTGTTTTCTTGAGTTCTGAAGCGACGGACCCCTCTCAAACTGCAGAAGGAAGACAGAAGGAAACTGAAAAGCAAGTATTTCTCCTTGCACCAGGGCTCCACTGGCCATTTCTCCTTCTTCCTCCAGCCTCAGTGTGCAAAGCCGCTTATTGCAGTCACTGATTCCAAAAGTGTGATTTCATCTCGCTTGATAGAGAAGGGGAAGCGCTAACGGTCTGGGGAATTTTCAGCTCTCCGGGAATGGCCCAAGGAGAAATGCCACCCGGCCCTTACCTCTGGGTCCAGGAAGAGGTGGCAGTGGGCGGCTTGTCCATCTCTTCCGGCCCGCCCAATCTCTTGCACGTAGTTCTCAAAGTTCTTGGGCATGTTATAGTGGATGACCCCTCGCACGTCGGACTTATCCAGCCCCATGCCAAAAGCCACTGTGGCCACGACTACCCGCAGCTGGCCAGACATAAAGTTGTTCTGCACGCGCCGCCGTTCGGCAGCAGACATGCCAGCGTGGTAAGCCTCGGCGATCCACTTCAGAGGGCGGCGGATGCCCTTTTGAGCTAGAGGGGAACGGAAAGCAAGGGTCACTCCACAGCCCTCTGCTTGGCCGCACTCTTGTTTCAGATTATACTGCTCTTTTAGCAGTGCTGCTTTTAGTATGCTGCTTGTATATTTTAACTCTTCATGCTCTATCTATCTATCTATCTATCTATCTATCTATCTATCTATCTATCTATCTATCTATCTATCTATCTATCTACCTACCTACCTACCTACCTACCTACCTACCTACCTACCTACCTACCTACCTACCTACCTACCTACCTACCTACCTACCTACCTACCTACCTACCTACCTAAGATATTTCTATGCCACCTCTCTCCAAAAGGATCCAAGGCAGCTTACAGTATTTAAAAGCTAAAAAGGTAAGTATACAAACAGCGCACCACAATTCATTTATTTATAAAAGTAATTTTAATTGCCCTTGAACCGGATCATTAATATTTCTATATATCTGTTGTGAATCACTCTAGGATTTGGGGCTGGGATGGGCTTTATATAAATACTGTACGTTTTTATAACTGAAAAACGAACAGCAGAACACAGATCGGCTTGCCTGTTTCCCGGTGGCCCAATTTTCTACCCTGGCCTCCCAACCCCCCCCCCCACTGCCCCTGGCCAAGACCTCCCAAACGGGCCATCCATTACCTTTGGCTTTCTTCCTCTTCCCAGCGACGCTGCTGTCGTCGTCCTCTTGTGGCTCCTCAGCCCTGGGGGGTTCTTCTTGCAGAACCACCCCCTGGAGACATGTCCGGATGAGGGCTGCAATCCGGGCTGTCTCCTCCCGGCGGGTACAGTAAACGATGATGGAATCCAGGCGTCCAAATCTCTCCCCTCGCAGCAAACTCACAAGGGCCTGCAAGGAGACAGCCCAAAGAACAGCTCACAGCTCATGGGCTCACCCCTGCTTCTTGAAAAATTAAATAAATAAAGAAGGAAAGAAAAACCACATCTCTCCTGCAGGATCTTTCCTATGCTCAAACTCAACCTTCATCCTGCAAACAATAGGTGCACAACTAAGCTATTTTCTCTTACAGCCTCTCTCTGGGTGAGTCCCTCTTAAAGTGCATTGTTGTTGGATGGGAACAAAACGGGTGATAAAATGTAGCTCATCCTTCTGTGCTGAAAACTTAAAATAAAATAAAAACTCTACAGGGAGGAAAGCAGAATTTCTACTCTCTACATCAAGTGTTCCCAACCTTGGGTAACCCAGGAATTTTTGGGACCGCAACTCCCAGAAGCCTTCACCAGCAGCTGGGAGTTGTAGTCCGAGAATGACAGGTGACCCACCTGTCATTGTAGCTCTTCGAGTGGACCTCTGGGATTCATGACCTGGGTGATCCGCACATAGAGGCCACGAAGAAGAAGAACATCTGGGTCACCCAGGGTTGGGAACCACTGATAGACAATACAAATCAGGTCCTTGTCTGCCTCTCTGGCTTAATTGATCCTTCTTTGGTTAGTCAAGAGGAGAGGAAGGAGCCAAGAAGGTCCTCCTGCGTAAGACCCATCCTCAGAGAGTAACAGGGAACAAAAACACACTCAAACAAAAAAACACTCAAAACGTTCTCACAATATAATACAATAAAGCATGCATTGCATTTCCTTGCTTAAGTTTAAAATCTGGGTTTGGAAGAAGAGGAAGACTTTTGGCAGCCTTTACAAACCGTTGGGAGGCTCACCCTCTCCAGAGGCCACGTCTATTGGGGGGGAAATGACTCATGAGATGAAGCAGGAAGAAGGCTCTGCTCCTCCTCCTGCCTCTGCTCTTCCAGGGTTGAGGAAAAGGGAGCCCTTGACACAAGCTGTTGCTCACATCTGTTCGTGAGGGCTCCTCCCTCCCAGGGACCAGAACCCTCAGGAAACCATCCAGGAACTTCACGCCCCTGGGGAGAGGGACTGGGACGGACCTGCTCCATCGCTTGGGCTGGAACCACCATTTGCCGTATCCCCTTGAAAGCCGGTCTTGTCATTAAAGCCTCTCCTCGCGCTCACCGCTTTTTGTCCTTAGCAACCCCAAGAGCCTTAGGTGAGGAGCTTCCATTGAAGCTAGACCTCCGTACTGATGTTGGGAGAAGCAGTTCTCCAATTCCTCTCCTTACCTGGTCCTTGTCTTTGTCGGTAGACACCGAGAGGTGCAGGTTTGAGGGGACAGCAGTAGAGCGCCCGGCAATCCCTTCACCCTCTGGGATCCCCAAGTGATGAGCCACGTCCTGTGCGGTGGAGAGGGTGGCCGTGGCCGTGAGGCCCAGGAAGCAGCGCACACCCAAGCGATCCCGAAGCACCTGTCCAGAAGGTAGATGAGGTCAGGCGAGCAGAGAGGCCAACCGAGGCCCTTGCACCACAGCACGGGCAAGGCAGAAGCCGCTACAGCACTATTTCCCTCTCGGGCACTGTGGCTCCTGCGGGGGCACCAGTGTGCAGAGGTAAAGGTAAAGGTTCCCCTTGACATTTTTTGTCCAGTCGTGTTCGACTCTAGGGGGCGGTGCTCATCCCCATTTCCAAGCCATAGAGCCAGCGTTTGTCCGAAGACCAATCTTCCGTGGTCACATGGCCAGTGCGACTTAGACACGGAACGCTGTTACCTTCCCACCGAGGTGGTCCCTATT